GCACAGCTCCCGGAACTCCTGGAAGTACCAGTGTCGAGGCTTGGCTCAGGTTCGGCTCCTCTCCATCAGCATCTGGGTGCTTCTTCTTCGAAACGGCTTCTTCTCTGGCATCCATCTGCTCCTCGATGCGGCCAAAAATTGCACTAAAAACGTTTATTGATATCCTTATTTGCCTAAGTAGTGTATTCATTGCATGACTTCACCCGCGAGAAGAAAAACGTCCACCTTGGGGATCTTCTCGTGGCTTTGGGCCGGCTTCTTCAGTGCAGGCTTTCGCTTCACCTTCTGGTCCTGGCAGTGGCGCAAAAAAACGATGTAATCTACATAAACGTTTGCTACCCCGCCTTTATGGCGGGCTTCTTCTGAAGGGCCATTGCTTGCACTAGCTACTTAAGCCTTGGGTTCCACAGCTCGAACTGCCAAAAAAAACATCTTCATGTTCATGCAGCTACCGGGCTCTCCAACCCGGGCCTATATCATTCCACAGACATGAACGGTGCTGTAGGGCTATCCAACCCATGCATAACATTTTGCCTTCGATCAGTCATCCAAGTCCAAGTCCACAACCCTCCTGAGCAAAAGATCCCACAGGAACCTATACTTGGCCATCATGGCAGCGGGAAGCTTGACAGCGGCGGTGCTATGCACACAGCTGCCGGCCAAATGAACCATAGTTCCCATGAAGCTCTCGGCACCGTAGCACCACGTCCTCATGAAGGCGTGCTTGCAAATCCCGTAGACGTGTTATGGACAGGGAAAATCTGAAATGCGGTCCAAGCTACAACCGCGGGTTCATAAACATGGCCGTGGAGGGCATGTGGGCAGTGAGGTGGAACTTCTGGACCATAGAATATCTCAGGAGCTTTTTCTCAAAGCAATGTTTTCCAAGCCATTGGTAGTGTTTCAGACATTTCTCCACGGACTTGCTGAATGCGATTTGGTCCTCCTTCTTCCATCTCACATCCGGCTGGTCCACCAAATCCTGATACATACAGTCTTCTTAAACCTATAGTTCGCGAAACTCTACACTTGAAACAAACTCTTCGGCAATTATTCTAGACATCCAAGGTGCATACATCTTCGCCAAAGCTTCAATGGCCAAGAAGCGATGCTGGGATTTTGGGTCCTCGTCCTCGGATAAGGTCCAAAAAAAAGGATCCTGTAGCAGCATCTGTGAAAACAACCAACTACAGCATGACAATATCTCAGGCAGGTTTCCTTGTACCGTTCTGCAAGCGACAGAGCAACCGGCACGAAGTGCCTAACTCGGCGTCCTTTCACATGTTTGAGAACCGGAAATACTTGGTTGGACTTCGCCACGTCCCTCCATTTCAATCTTCCGATTCTCTGGCTGGCAGCCACATGCAATCCTTCATAAATGGACTGTATTTCCTCATAAATCTCTTTCCAGCGGTCGTCCCTGTTTCCATGGCCTGAATCCTCAACCAAGTCCCACAAAAACGATCCGAGGAGGTGGCAGCTTATGCCCAGATCCCATGTGTGCAGAGTGTCCAAAGCAATTGCAAGTGGGTTGAGGCCAGGGATGGCGAAGAGCTTGTGGCCGCCGAACTCGTTGCAAAAGTCCTCTGCTGTCTTCACTTGCGTTCTCCAAGCAGCACTTGCTCTCAGGTCGTTCCATGGTACATCTGTCCTTCGCTTCATAGCACATATACTTGTCTCATACACACACACATATGCATATCTGTTTATACATGTACATGCATAAACAGATACATATACATTTACATATACATATACAAAGACATATACATATACATATAAATATACATATACGTGGGAAATAGCATAACAAAACATGCGAATGCACACATAGCATCTGGTTGCACCAGCACCACGGGCAGGGATGCTGCTGGTTGTGTCGCGGGAAAGCAAACTCAGAATAAAACCAGTCCAGGTCACCGATGATTGCAAAGACCATCCCAGTTCTATGCTTTGCCATCCGTTTGAAACTGTCCACGATGGCGTCCCACAGATCAGCCAAAAGCTTTTCCGTGACAATACATTTTGGAATTGTAAACAACACCTCAGTGAGGCTTGGCCTTTAGCTATAAAAGAAACCACTATTTAATATGCATTCGGAAACAAAAGTATTCTAGACTTTCATGCCGATTAAACATCCAAGGCACCAGCTGGCTGTGGTTCACCGGTAGTTTCGAGGTCATACTCCTCATACTCACCGTCAGCAGCGAATCAGTCTCGGTGTGCGGTGCGGCATCACCGTGCCTGATTTTTTTCTCGTGACAGCAAAAAACATCCTGATGGGCTGTCCAACCATTCTGTAACAAAAACAATCCAAGAACAAAAAGAAGTCTAAGCCTATATCCTTGGGCTGTCCAACCCATTCAATCCAGTCCATTCACCGAAACTGAAAGTATTTCTGATCTTCATGGGTTCCTTAGCGATTGTTCTTCTCGTTACACGGGCTGTCCAGCCCTTCCAACCCTTTGGCTGTCCAACCCTTCTGTGTCTTCATTCCTTCGCCATATTGTTCTTCTCCTTACAGGGTCCTTCAGCTCGTCGGCTCCTATGCGTGGCTCGGCCTCGGTCCTCTACACCCACAATCCATTCTGTAACAAAAACAATCCATGGGCTGTTCAACCCTTCTGCATCAAGTCCATTCCTCATCCGGGGTCCCCTCCTCAAAGTCCCTCCTTCATGCCTTTGTTCCACCCGATCATCTCGTCCTTGCTGGCTGTTGCTTCTGTGACCCCCCAAACTGCCTTCCTTCCTTACATCTGGGCTGTCCAACCCCTCAAACTCTTTCACATCCATGGGCTGTCCAACCCATTCAAAGAAGTCCAGAACCATAAGTGGCGGGTGTTCTCCCTCCAGATATTCTTGGGATCCCGGTCTGTCCAACCCCTCAAACTCTTTCACATCCATGGGCTGTCCAACCCATTAAAAGCAGTCCAGAATTCTCAAGCCACTGAGCCCATGGCACACGAGGCTCTTCCTCGTAGCTAAACCACAAGTGGCGGTTGTTCTCCCTCTGGGTTGTCCAACCCATCAAACTCTTTCACATCCATGTGCTGTCCAACCCATTCAATGCAGTCCAGAATTCTCGAGCCAGTCAGCCCATGGCTGTCCAACCCTCTCTGTAACAAAAACAATCCTTGGGCTGTCCAGCCCTTCTGTACCAAAACCATTGATGCGGCCAAGGTGCAGTGCAAAGGGCACGACGTGATTCTTGTCAGCGTCTTTGGAGAGGTTGCGGAAAAACGATTTTGAAGCTTGTATCCTGGGGTTGTCCCATTGCAACTGCTCCTTCCAAAAGTTTTCCACTCCATCCATGCCCAACACCTCCTCGAAGTTGCTGTCCTTGAGGGAGCCGATCCAGTCCTCCGGCAAAACAACAGGTACCTCTCCAGGGCATTCCGTCTCCGTTCCAGTAGGACTCTTGCCCTTCAGCGTGGACTTGATCATCCGGCACTCCGGAAACACCATGTCCTTGAAGAAGTTTCTCTTGAGGTCCCGTTGTATGTTGCCTTATACTGGTTGTCAAGAGAAACATGTATACATGTATACATTCACTTAATTAAGTCTCCATAAAGCTAAGAAACCCCAAAGATATCCTATGTGTAGTCTTACAATTTTCCATGGTTCGAAGTACTTAAGTTAAGTTTTGTTCATAGAGCTAAAGAACACCAAAAAAATCCAGTGTGTAAGAGTCCATGGTTCCAGGTACTTATACAAATACATATATACTGTATCTACAATATATTGTTGGTAGAGCTACGAAACACCAAACATAATCCAATTTGTAAAAGTCCAAGGTTCCAGGTTGCAGGCCGTCACACCCCAATCTCTTCAGTGCATTGACATCTGGTGCATCGCAGCCAGACATGACGGCTGCACTGGCCACTTCCTGAACCAGAACTGCTGGGATATCTCCACTGCTCCATCGTTTCAAAAGCAGAATAGCCAAAGGGGATTTCAGTTGCTCCTTCCTTGGTGGGGGGCTCGCTGCCCTCTTCCTCGAGCTTGCCATGGCTGGGTACAAGAGTGGGTTCGGGGATTATACAAAAGACATAGCATGCTGAGTTCTTTGCGGAATTTGCCAAACAGATATGGAAGTTACAATCTTTTCTTGAGGCAGCGATTACACGGAGCTAAAGGTTAATTTTTCGGGCTAGTGGGTTCGGCGGATTATCCAAAAGACATATGATGTTGGTGCTTGTTTCAAGGTTCTAGGCTTTAGGGAATTTGCCAAAAAGCTATGGAAGTTACAATCTTTTCTTGAGGCAGCGATTACACGAAAAGAGTTAATCCAAACTTTAAGGTTCATTTATCGGGCTTACACCAACCCAGCAGCGTGGACTGTCCAGTCCGGGTACACATAACAGGGCTTAGCCAACCCAGCAGCGGGGGGTCCGTTTTTTTCTTCTCGGATCGTACTGCCGGCTCGTTGTTCCTAGACCTTCTTTTTGGCCTGCGATTTCGCCTGCTTGGCAAGTCCTAGTGCAGCCACTGCATCTTGCAAGGCAGATCCTACATCCTCGGCTTTCATCTTCACTGATCCTTTGAACTTCTCCAAGCAAGTCTTGGATTCCTCAGCCTTTGTCACTGCCTGGCGATGTTGTTGTTATTTCACGAATCAAGTGCACTGACAGAAAAACCCGGCCTCTTTGACAAGCTTGTAAAGCTCCTTCTTGGTCTTCGCATCCACGGTTGACTCCTTGATCTGAAGCATGCTGTTCTCCAGGTTCCCGATCTCCTTCCCAAGCTCGGTCTTGAACACGATGATCTTCTTCTCCAGCTGCAGCTTCGTAGTGGCGCTCGAAACCTAGGGTTTGGTGTTGAAGGGCTTGCAACATGAAATGAAAGGGCTTCTGGGGAATTTGTGAAAAGAAGGGATTGGGGGGCTTTCCAAAAACCATATGAAAGTAACGATCTTTTGTAAGGTTTAGGGTGTATGAAGAGTTTAAGGCATTCTCCAAAAGAGGTGGAATTTATGATCGTAGTAGGGGTATTTATGAGTTCTAGAGTTCGGGTAAACGGTTTAGTTTAGCATCTGGGGTTTGGATTTGATGCCAAGGGCTTACCAACCCAGCTAAGGGCTTACCAACCCAGCAACATGTGCTAGCTGCTAGCTTACACCGGCTGGCCTGGCTTTCATTCTCCCACTTGTTTCTTTTTTCTTCTTTTCCTCCCTCCTCCTTCTCCTTCCTCCCCCTACCCTTGGTGGTAGCCAACCCCAGGGGGTCCTCGTCCGGGTCGACCTCGTCGCCTGACCCCTCTTCGAAGTCGAAGTCATCCACCATGACCGGCCCCTCTTTCATTCCCCTTTTCCATTCGAGCATGTCCTCCTTAGTTGCCCCTGCCTCGGAGAATCCGCTCCTCTGCTGCGACTTCTCCGTCCAGACTTCGTCGGACTCTTTCGCAAACCTGTGCACTCCAGAAATTTGGAATATGGTTTCATGGTAGGATACCCTAATTTACCATAAAGGGTTAAGGATAATCATATTGCAACTTCTTGGCTCTTACCTGATAGATAGATATATATATATATATATATGTATACACTGTATATCTCTACATATCCTCAAAGTAAATCAAAAACCAATGAAAAGTCCAGACACCTGAATTGGAAATATTTCTGGTCTTCTGGATTGCGGCGCCACACAATCGTCTTTCTCTGCACACGATCCTTGAGTTCCTCAGCGCCTATGCGGCGTTCCGCTTCCGTCCTTGAAAGCCAAATCCACTTTACTTGCTGCTTGGCCTAAGTTCTGTATTCCAAATTAAAAAGATCCATGAAGTTTCATTATCCAAGGGTTTCATTATGCAAGGTTTTCATTATCCAAGGGTTTCATTATCAAAAAAAAGACAAGTTCATACCCTCAGCATCCTAGGTGCTCCGGTGCTATAGTTCTGAATTGCTTGCTTGTAGTGCTTCGTGAACTTCCCCCCGTCCAATATCCACGAGCTCAGCATCTTCCTTTTCTTCTTCGTGGAGCCCACCGATCCAGAGGCTTTGAGGAACTCATCCTGGTGGCCTTCTGCAATCCTACTGGTCTCGAAGGCCTTCCACAAACTCATTTGTGTCTTGGTGCTGGCATTCTTCATTGCTTCGTCGACTTGCTCAACGGTCATATCCTTCTTCCCACATTCCTTCATAAACTTCTGGTGGTTCTCCAAAGCCTCTTTGCTAAGCTTGGGGTTCTTCTTTTTCTTTTTTCCTTCCTTCTCCTTTGCATCCTCCTGCTCCTCTTCAGGGTCTTCCTCTTCATTGTCACATGGCTCCTTTTCATCTTCCTCCTCCATTTCCTGTTCTTCCTCCTTTTCTCCTCATCCTCATCCAATTCGGATTTGGGCTTCTTGTAGGGGACGATTTCCGTGCATGCGGCGGGTCTTTTGGCGGCGGGTTTCTTCATCACCGGCATGGCACTGCTGGTCCTAGAGGGGATCTGTAGCTAGAGTTTGATCCTAAATCCTTTGGTCATTAAAAAAAACATGCATGGGCCCGGGCTTTCGGTTGGGTTCGGGGTTGCGGGTTTGAGGGTTCAGGGCTGAAGCTGTGTGTGTGTGTGTGTGAATACACGAATAATGCATATGTACGTCGAAACATAGCAAGGGTTGGAAAGCCCGAGCAGCAGCAGCAACAAAGCTGAGATTGCAGCAACAAACACCAACGAGGTGGCAGTACACACAAAGACGGGTTGGAAAGCCCCAGCCCCCGGCAGCAGCAGAAAAAAGGGCAACGAGGTGGCAGCACAAAAAGACGGGTTGGAAAGCCCCAGCAGCAGCACCAAAAAGGGCAACGAGGTGGCAGCACAAAAAGACGGGTTGGAAAGCCCCAGCCTCGGCATCAGCATAGATTGTGATTTGTTTATATTTATAGTTCTTGGAGAACAGACGGGTTGGAAAGCCCCAGCAGCAGCAGCATAGATGTTCACTTCGATAATTAAATTTGTTTGGGAGAACACATATTCCATATCGTGGCATACATATTGAGTTTGATTAGTTTTATGTAATTGGTTGAATTTCATTTGATTCAGTCAATCCATGTCATTTATCTATTTAGATTAATTTAATGAATTTCGTTCAAATAATTTATGAAATTGAACTTAACTGATTTATTGAATTCAATTCATTTAAATACTTTAATTTATTAAATATAATTAAGTTTATTGAATGTATTTAATTTATTTAATCTATGTAATTTAATTTAGTTAATTCAATTTATTTAATGTGACTAAGTTTATTTAATGTATTTAACTTATTTAATTTATGTAATTTAATTTAGTTAGTTCAATGTATTTAATTTAATTAAGTGTATTTAATGTATTAAATTTATTTATTTAATTTAATTTAATTCATTTAATTCAACTTATTTCATTTAATTAAGTTTATTTAATGTAATTTAATTTAATTTGATTTAATTTAATTTAATTTAATTTGATTTAATTTAATTTAATTTAACTTAGTTAGTTCAATTTATTTAATTTAATTAAGTTTATTTAATGTATTTAATTTATTTAATTTATTTAATTTAATTTAGTTAGTTCAGTTTATTTAATTTAATTAAGTGTATTTAATGTATTTAATTTATTTATTTAATTTAATCTAACTTATTCAATTCAACTTATTTCATTGAATTAAGTTTATTTGATGTATTAAATTTGTTTAATTAACTTAATTTAATTTAATTTAATTTAGTTTATTTAGTTTATTTAATTTATTGATTCTATTTATTTAATTTAATTAATTTAATTTAATTCAATATATTTAATTTATTTAATTTATTGATTCTATTTATTTAATTTAATTAATTTAATTCAATATATTTAATTTATTCATTAAATTCATGCCACTTCATAAATATTCATATTTCTTCATATGATTTCATGGTTCTTCATGGTTCTTCATGGGTCTTCATGGCTCTTCATGGCTCTTCATGGCTCTTCATGGCTCTTCATGTTCCTTCATATGATTTCATGGATCTTCATGGTTATTCATATTTCTTCATATGATTTTGTATGTGTTTTCTTTTTTTTTTGATTATTATAGATGTTTTCCGTTTACATGATGTCATAATGTATTGGATATATTTAATTTATTCCATGCAAATATTTTAACTTTTTCAATTACATTCACTCATGTACTTCATTAATAGTGTATCTAATTTAAGTGACGTCACTGAATTCCATTTACAACATGTCATAATGTATTTAAAATATTTGATATATTCCATACAAATACTTTAATTACTTCAACTCCTTTGATTCATATACTTCATGAATAGTGTACCCAGTATCCAGTGACGTCACTGAATTCCATTTACAACATGTCATAATGTATTTAAAATATTTGATATATTCCATACAAATCCTTTAACTACTTCAATTACTTTGATTCATATACTTCATTAATAGTGTAACCAGTATCTATTTTAAGTGACGTCTTTGAATTCCTTTTACAGAATGTCATAATCTATTTTGAATATTTTGTTTATTTCATATACAAATACTTTAACTATTTCAATTACTTTTGATTCCTGTACTTCATTACTAGTGTATCTAGTCTAGTTGACATTATTGGGATTCCTAAGTAATAGGGTTCCTGAAGGGCTTTCCAACCCTTTTGGTTTTCAATGGGCGTCCACCTCTCGGGTTTGAGTTGCCGCTACTCATATTGAGTTCAGGCTTTATGCTGTCAATCCAGCCGGGCTTGCCAACCCTTTTGTGGTGGAGTACACTTTGGGGGTCAGAATCTATCGGGTTTTACTTGCCGGGACTTATGTATTATTGGCTTCAATGTTTTATGGGCTCAGGGTTATACATTTGGCTCCGGGCTTTCCAACCCCTCTTTCGGCTTTCATTTTCTCCACACGGAAGACCCACGGCGTCTGCAGCGTGGCTATCCAACCACCACGTGCGGAAGAAAAAGGGTTTTCATGGAGTGACACCTGAAAGTTTTCTGTAGCTGTCGTAGTAGTAGTAGTAGTAGTCGTAGTTGCAGTAGCAGTAGATATCCGAATAGCAGTTGTTCCTAAGAGTCCTAGTGGTTACCAGTCCTATATCCACCAAACACAAACTTCCTATGGATCCAACAAACCCAAACTTTCGGGTGTCACTCCATTCCGGTGCAACATCCGGTAGAGTCCCTTTGTTTTCGACCGGCCACGAAACGAAGCACATGCACTGTCGACACAACCCTTGCTGTCCTCGCTTCGGAGGAAGGACTGTCTTCCTATGTACGTGTACCTTCCACATTGCCGGCATTGGTAAAGGAAATCTCTCGGATAGTCGCGGTTGATGGCCTGCACGGTGCGGGGCGACAGGCCCTCATCAGCCTCGACGATGCTCGGTCCTGGAGATTTTCATGTTCTCCTATTCTATACTCCGGGCTTTCCAACCCACTGTCAGGGCTTTCCAACCCACTGTCAGGGCTGTCCAACCCACTCTTTCAAACCAATCAACAAATATCCAGGCTACAATTTTGTTGTCACTGGAGTCCTCCAGTGCCATCGTCACCTGGGATGGGGTTCAGCGGTTTCGGGTTTTGGGCATGGGGTTCCAGCAAGACGAGACACAAAAGTAAAAAAGGCTCACTTCAAGCCTACTGCGTGTTAGTTTTGGGCTTGGGGCTTTACCACACACAGTACCTAAAACAAACCAAATGTTCACTTCAAACCAAGGCTCCTTTTCCAGGTCCCTTGCCTTTGGCACCCTTTCCTCGGCTGAGTGCTCTGGGTGTGCACAAGGTTGGTTTAAGCACTAGAATTCTGCGTATAATCAAAAAGCTTCAATCCTAGAGTCCATGAGTCCTAGGATCCTTTTCCTCCATCTCCACCGTTGCCTGTGGCACCCTGTCCACCGTCTGCGTTGCCCTGTCCTTGGCTGAGTGTTCTGGGTATGCATTAGGTTGTTTTCAGATAAGTAGAAGTATGGGTTCTAGAATTGGGTTTCGGGTTTGTGTTTTAAGCTTCAGGGCTACTAGGGTTTAAGGACAAACCCTTCCACAAGATTAGGTTATGAGATTAAAACCATGCCTAGAAACCATCTCCTGTGGATCCTGTGGATCCGCCGGTCCCATCATTCGGCCATCCTGGCCATCCTCGGTTTGGTTTGGCTATGTGTATTCAGTATCCATATCAGATAAGTAGAACTAAAGGTTCCGGGGTTTAGGCATAGCAGGCTTTTGGGTTTGTGGTTTAGGTTTTACGGTTCAAGGTTTAAATTAAGGGCTTATAAGGACAAACAAATCCCGGAAGAAAGGGTTTAAAAACCAAGCCTAGAAACCATGTCCTCCGCCTCCCTGCTGCTGGTACGATCCTTGTCCCCATCCATGTCCTCGGTTCACATGCATGTATATGTATACATACTCTGTACTTAGAAAATGATATAATTGTCTATCATACTTTGGGTTCCCGAAGCGGCTTTAATATAGGGTTTCGGGGTTTAGGGTTTAGGGGTTTAGGGGTTTAGGGTGGTTTAGGGTTTCGGGTACGTATAGGTCCAAGAATCCATATCCTGCGGATCCGCCGTCACCATAATGCCAGTTATTCCAGCTCTGCCCACCACCTCCTCCAGGGGTTTGCGGATATATGTATAGCTAGACAGGGGCTCCATTCGGTTGTTTTTAATTTCCAACCCAATTCAAAAAAACATGTGATCTGGTCCTTGCCATCCGCTGGATCCGCCGTCATCATACCAGTTATTCCAGCTTGACCCACCACCTCCTCCAGGGGTTTGCGGATAAATGTATAGCTAGACAGGGGCTCCATTCGGTTGTTGTTAATTTCCAAACGAATTCAATAAAACATGTGATCTGGTCCTTGCCATCCGCTGCTGGATCCGCCGTCACCATGCCAGTTATTCCAGCTTGACAGACCAGCTCCTCCAGGGGTTTGCGGATATATGTATAGCTAGACAGGGACTCCATTCGGTTGTTTTTACTTTCCAACCCAATTAAAAAAATGTGATCTATAATCACTGCCATCCTGCGGTTCCGCGGTAATTCGACCAGCTATTCCAGCCATCTCCTCCAGGGGTGTTCGTGGTTTGCAGATATATGTAAACCTCAATACAGACTTCATGCAGTTTCCACGAAATTATAAAAAAAAAAAAACGGTCATTTGGTCCTTGGTCAGCTCCCTGTACTGCATCCGTCGT